TAAAACATAGCCTTAATTGTAAACTAATATAAAACAAGAAGGATTTATTTTATAAGGATTGAATATGCTTGAATTTTTATGAAATTAAGTAGAAATTTTATCTTTTTATACTTTAAAAATAAATATGCAATTCATATGATAAATTATTGAATTTAATGCATAAAAGATTGTATTTAATATCTCAATTTATCTACATTACTAGTAAATCCATTACTAACTATATTATGTACTCTTGTGTTCTATATGTTTTTTTAAATCTGTTATAACATTCTATCATCCACAATTCTTGTTTTATTTGTTCATAACATTTGATGCTTAATGGAGGCCAGAGGAGAGGTGAGATATTTAATAGCATATTTGAAATGAAAAACAATTCTAAATAAATTTCTAAACATGAACCCTTCAACTGACAGATTCAATATAAACCCAACTGTTGCCGAAGTATTTGGGAAAGAAATCAAAAAGTGTCATATACTCGCAGTGGCATAATAAACAAATGTTAATTGATGTGCTTTGTTTGAAATACTTCCAGGGAGACTTGCAATGAGCAAGGCTCTTCTGTATAGGCAATTCAGCAGCATATGTTGGCACATCTAGGAAAAGTCATCATGTATAAATGCTTTATGCCATCTGGTATATGACCTAAAATATCAAAAAGAAATATGTACAGCTAAAATGAGTATGTGACTTTATTTGGAGTACCTTTGACTCATCAGGTAAAGCACTTTGCGTTTAACATTTCATGGTGAGATCTTCAGAATAAGGTTTGTTTTTATTCTTAATGATATTTCCATACCCCTAATGTACTCTATAAAGCATGAAAAAGAACAAACAACACTGTTAGTCTCTATTCTCTCAGTACCTATTTCTCTCCTCCTCCACATATGCCTCCTCTTTTAACATAAAATGGAAATTGTGTTTGGAAAGGCAGATGTATTTTTGGAAGAATATAGTTTTTTTAGATACTTATCAACAGAATTCTAATGTAACAGATACATTGTTTTAAGAGAACAAAAATATTTGTAGAGCTTTTACAATGCATTAGGCACTGTGTTAAGTATCGTACATATATTAACTCATCTAAACTCTGTAGCTCTCCTACCACCATCATCACCAATACAGATAGGGGATCTGAGTCTAAACAGGATTACAATAAGCGACTGGTGGTGGGTGCACCCAAGATTGAGCTTTACCCAAGGGCTCTGACATTTTTATTACACCGTGCTCTCTGCAATATTAAATATAAACAAAGAACTAATATTTATTGAAAAATTATTTGCATGCCAGACATTCTGCTAGAAAATATGCTCAATTTTTTTGTTTAATTTTTACAATGACACTGAAAAAAGAGAGTTTTATTATCATCCCATTTTAGGAATAAGGAAACATGCTCAGAGAGGTTAAGTAACTTGTGCGAGATCTCACAGGATATTCCCAACTAGTCCCTTTCTTAATCTACTACATCAATCCTTCTTACGCTTTAATGTGTATATAGGAGTAGGGCCTGAGATTCTGCATTTATAACATGCTCCCGAGAGGAAATGACAATAGTGAAGGTCTAAGGACCACAATTTTAGCAGCAAGGAGATACTCATGCCTCCCTCTTTTGTGAGATTTTATAACTCCTGTAGGAAATAGTCTTCTAAAGACTACCAGTGAGTCACTTACATTTAAATTTTGAGGTTTAAAGAAAAATATATATATAATTTTTTTCCACAAACAAGTTAAATATTCCCTGCTCTCAGATTTCTTAAGTACGGGTGGAGACAAAAAAGAGACACAAGAGACAGAGATAGAATTTGCTGCACACTGTGCTGCAGCAGCTTAACATCTTATTTCTTTCTCTTTCAAGCTCATGTCAAGGATAGTGTGAGTTAGCTTGAATCATGGTGTGTTTGCTACATTTTCCTAATTATTGATGGAAAATTCAGAACTCTGAAGAGGTTCTTCTTTTCTTTTGTATTGCTACTACACCATAATTCCTTGGGAGAATTTCCCCTGTGTTGACTTAACTACCTTCCTGCCAACCATCTTTACGCCCAATACAAGGACATGCCCCTGTGTATGGTTAGAATATATGTGTGTGAGAGAAATATTCTTCAAGAATACCACTTTCTCTTTTAATACTAAATCAGTAAAATTAACATAGATATTCAAAAATTGCCATGTGTTTCTTAATAAAAACGTCAAGTTTCAACAATGCAATAAGGAAAATCCTGAATTTTAAAGCCTATATGGGCATTGCTAAAAAATAAGGACCAATGATGAAATTGTAAATGTATAAATAATGTTTAAAGATGGAGTTTGAGGTAATGTTTATCAGCAGGCTAAAGAGTAGTAAATTCATGAATTAGGACTCTATTGTAAGTGGTGGTCATTACTATTTTGTGTATATCTACATCCAACAAATACAGACTTATATTTATGTATAGTTGGCATTTAAGTCACTGAATTGTAACATTAGAATAATGATTTTAAGAGAAAAGGGAAGACTTTTTTTAAAAAAAAGGTGACTATAGATGATAATCATGATCCTATCTGACACATCTGCTAACATAAAAGTGACAACATAACAAATTGTGTTCAGCACAGCAGAGGTTGGATCAAATCTTCTCTGGGTTTGTGGTGGGAGGAGCAGCAAAGGCTGGAGCATTAGCTCTCTATCTTAGGGAAACCTTGAAAGGAACTGACACCTGTTGAGCTCACTGTCTGCTAGACAGATCATCCTCTATTGTCTAAGTTAACCCTCACAGAACTCTGAAAGGAAGCTATTATTTCCATATCACAAATGGAAAACAAGATGGAACTAAACTAAGCACAAAATATAGGCCTGGAGAGGTTAATTCAATTTCCCAGGCTTACATTCTTAACTATTAAATGGAAAAGCCAGACCTTTTTTCAGATCTTTCTAACTGCAAATCTTATATTATTTCCTGGCTACTTTCTGCAGGAAAACAAACAAACAAACAAAACCTTTTATAGATCAGGAAACGATGCACTTGACTGAAATTTGAAACTACATTTCTTTAAGTTGAATGCCTTGGACATCAATGGGGGAGGCATTACCTGGGCTTTCAACCAGGGAAACCATCACAAAAGATGGGAAATGATCTCATTTTGCTTCTTGAGAGAACTGGCATCTGGATCTGGAACCTATCCAGTCTGGGAGGGAAGAAAGCAAGGAGCCAAATGAGGCATGAGGAAAAGGGCATCAAGATTCTATAATGCAGGGTCATGATACCTTGGAAAAAAATGTATTTTATCAGAAATTATGTCATGAGAAGATATTTTTGTTGTCCATTCATTTACTCACAAATTTATTCATTTATCACTCTCTTTGTAATGGAAGAGCTCATAGTAATATGTTTGAATAACACTACATATCGTTATTGATTTTTAAGTACCTTTTCTTATGAAAAATTAAGCCATAGAAGCTAAGCAGAATAAACAACCCAGGTATTGTGATTACCATTTTACAGATGAACCTGCAGAATTTGGGAAGTTAAATAATTTCTCAAAGTTATAACAGCTACTAAATGTCTTAGACACAGTTTCATTTGTTGCTTCAAATTAGATGTTCTTTCCAAGATTTCCATCTAGTTAATAAGAGTAAACATGATTATATACTGATTCTAACATCCAGGGATAATTGAAATCAAAGATATTTTAAGAAGACATATTAAATGAGAACTACTGACCAAGTTTTTTTTCCCCCTAAAACAGTAAAAATAAGGTTCTCTATAAATTTCAACATTAATTTTCTACCTTTTTGAAGTTATTTTGAGTATTCATTTCATTTTTTGGTGCTTAGTTACTTGTATGATTTTTTACCTTATTTTTTATGGATTTTTTTTGCATGTTATTCCTTCCCATCTTCTTTCACAATAATCCATATTTACTTACCTGTTTGCTGCTATTTTCTGCATTACTTTAACCCTTTATTTTTTTAGTATCATGAGATTGTTCTCATTTTTTTTTCCAACTATAATTTCATCTGAATCATGCAATAATCAGTCTTTAAGCAGTATTTTCATTGAGCCAAGCCCGATCTTGGAATTCTAAAGAAGGAAGTTAGATGTTCATATGCAGAACATTTTCCACTCCTTCATTTTCTACCGTAGTATTGATAGGCATATAAAATGAATCCTGAGTGACTAATAATGAGCTGTGTGAAAATGGATAATATTCAACAAAAAGTGTAAAAACTTAAATGAAAGGAGGCAGCATTCCATTTATTTATGAGAGAGAATTCCTAATACAAACTTATTGTGAACATTTTTAAAAGTATAATATATGACATTTTGAAACTTACATCTTCATTTATTATTACCAATTCTTGCCAGGGAAAATAGCCTCTGGCCATTATAAAAAAAGATGTAATTAAAAATCAGTCATGGGCATTATTGAACATAAATAGGAAAATACAGAAAATAGCTCTTTCCTGAGTAAAGATTGCATAAATATTGTGGAATTTTTGTGTTCATTTTATTTTTTTGATATTAGAATATGTTCAATTTAATCTAAATCTAAATCCTAGATACAAAGCCCTTTTTGTTTTCTAGTTAACACAAATTTTGTTCTATAGAAATTTTCTGTTGACTTCAAGGAAAGTTTAGATTATGCACAGAGCAATGAAATTCTTATTTAATAAAACATCTACATTACTTCAACTGCTTGCTTAATTTCTTTTAAAATAAATTTTGTAAATGCTTATGAAATTCTTCCATGGTAAGTGTACAAATTTAAAATAGAAATTATATCACTAAATTTTCAAATTTTATTTTGCTTAATTGTTTATTTCTTTAAAAATTGTTACGATTTTAAAAATCGTTTGGGAAACTATATATTTTTTTCTTATAAAGGTTATTTTTATTTGATAGGAAGAATGCAACATCAGTCAGAGAAAACAAACATACATTTTATCTTTTATTTAATAATACATCATTTCCCCCCGCATTTAATTCTATTTTAATTGGTTTCTTTTTCTTTCCTTTCAACAGGCTGAGTTAAATAACCTAATGGATCCTTTCACTAGATATGGTACAAAAGTTTCATCTAATGTAGGAGATGAAATTTTCTCCAAATATATAGGATGGAGAATTGCCAACACACTTTCCAAGCTATTCTTCTCCTTCACTGATGCCCATATTCTTCCTTTGAAAAAACCATTAATAAAACGGGATCAAAAGAAATATCTGAATAAAAATCAGCATTTCATGAAGAAGAGAGTTCTACATTTTACTCTGAAGTAAGTAAAGCGCTATTCAAAATAGTCCTGTTATTCTAACACATCACATTTCAAAGTCATAGAAATTATATATAATCAAGTGCCACATTATTTAACACAATTTCTCTTTTTTAATTCAAATCTTGGCTCTACCACTTCTTAGATATTTTATCATGAGCAGGTACTCACTTCTCAAAAACTGTTTCTTTTTATTTAACATAGATATTATTATATAATATAAATCAATGTTTCAATACGTGAAAGCCTCCTTCCCATTGCTTACCTTCATTTGCCTAGTTTGCCCTCATCTTTCTCTATCACTAATTGCTTCCAGGGTCTATTAAATATAAAAAATTATAAGTACATTTTAAATTTCTCTCCATTTTTACGTGAAAGTTAGCATCCTAAATATACTGGTTGCATTTTTCACTTAACTTCATTTTTTAGAAATTTTTCCATGCCGATACTAGAGAATGTTCTCATAATTATTATTTTTAACTATTATGATGTTTTCCTTAGTAAGGATGTACTAAAATTTATTTAACCAATTTCCTGTTGGTTGGCATTTGGTTGGTTTATATCGTCTGCTACTACAGACAAGCACAAAAGTAACCTTTCACATTTATCTTTTTACACATGTATGATAAATTCTCAGAAGTATAATTGCTGTGTCAGAGGGCATATCCTTTGTAATGTGGGTAGATATTTCCAAATTGTCTTTTAGAGGTGTTCTACAAATTTAATGTATGAGATTGCCTGTTTCTCTTTAGACTTTCCAATAGATAGTGTTGACAAACTTTTGGGTTTTGACATTCTGAAAAGTGAAATATAGTTTCTAAAATTAGTTTTTATTTTTATTTTTCTTAAGTTGAGTGGTTTGAACACCTTTTATATGTTAAAAGGTTTTTTTTTCTTTATATGAGAATTAACTCCTTACTCTTTTGCTCATTTTTCTATTGAGTTTTTATCTTTTTCTTTTTGTTTGTAAGAACTGTTTATCTATTAATCTATATGTCAGTTTGTCTATGGTAAGATCTATAAATATTTGTCTTTTCCACCATTTTTATTTATCTTTAAACTTTGCTGATATTGTTTTTTGTCATACAGTCATTTTTCTACATACTATAATTTATAAATTTTTCACTATGATTTATAGATATTTTGATCTATTTTGAAAGCTCTTTTCATTTTAAGATTTAAATTTTGTCACATTGTCTTCTAGTACTCTTAAAGATTCATTTTGAACATTTTAGTCATTGGTCCAATGAAAGGTTTTTTTTAGTGTATGGTATGAGGTGTCTCTCCAGATGGCTATTCAATTGTCCCAACAACATTTATTGAGTTATCTACCTCCCTTGACATTTAAAAAAAATGTTAAATACTATCTTTATTGAAAAACTGAATTCCCACTTTTTTTTCTATGTTCCAAAGTAGTTTCAGTAATTTGGAATGATCTACTCTTTCAAACTCTGGTAGAATTTCCTCTTAAGACATCAGTACCTTATGCCTCTTGTAAGGGTAGCTATTTGTCAAATTTTCCTATTTTATATAGCTATTGGCAAGGCTCATATTCAGCCATAATGCACAGGTACAGCTAGATTCAGTTATTATTGTTTGAGGCACCTGTCATAAAATTATCTGGCATATCAATCCTGAATGTCAGTCTCTTTCTTCTTAAGTCAATTTTAGCAAGTTATGTTTTCTCTAAATATTATTTTCATCCCATTTTTCAGAATTTATTGGGCCATAATTGAAAAGTAGCATCTTAAGATTCCTTTTTATTCTCTCTGTTTCTGTGGCTGTTCTGTCTTCAGCCAATTCTTACTTTGTGTGTTTGTGTTTTGTCTTTTATATTCTCTTTCATTAGTTTTAGTGTTTCATCTATTTTATGTATTTTTTTTTCAATGAACCAGATTTTGTATTTTAACTCATGTATTTTTGTTCTTATGTCTATGAATCTGTTACTACTTCTATTCTTTGATCTATTATGTGGTTCATTTTCTAATTTCTTAAAGAAGATGCTAAATCATTTTCAAAATTTTTTTCTTCAACATTTGTCTAAATCATTATTTGAGTTCCAAAATTATGGGACTCTTGTTGCCCAAAGGCAGACTTTATTGCAGGCATTATAATTTGGGTGGAACAAGACTAGGCAGGCTTTCCTTTTGTACACAGTCAACAGAAAGATAGACACATACTTGAGAAGAATTTTGACGGAGATTTAAGAATTTTTAAAAGAATTCTAATATCAATGAGGAAGATATGTAAATTTGAGAGTAAGTATCACACAGCTTGTACTTTAGTAGTTTCAAGTACAGAAATAAATATTATAAAAATATCCTTCACCATATATTATAAATATTTATAAGACTGCAATATGATCAAGGTGCAATGAAAATGCCAGCTTTAAATGTCACAGATATTACTATTTACTTTAGAATCCCCAAATGTCTTTTGTATATTTTCGAGGACAACAGACGTGAAAGAAAAATCAATCTGAGACCACAAAGAGAGGACATTGAACAAGTATACTATGGTTTCTCATTCATGGGAAGTTAAAGAAAGAGATAGTAAGGAAGAAACTAGAAAACAAGAAGAAATTGGATATTGACAAAAGGAGATTAAAGAAACAGCAAGTGAAAGGATAAATAGATGGTGAAAAGGCAGGTGGAGGTGAATGGTGCCTGATGGGACACATAAAGGAAAGACAGAGAGAAAAGGAGACATATTGAGAATGCTTAAAATAGCAGAATAGAGAAATAAAAGTTATAAGCAGAAAGATAAAAGAGACCAAAAGGAAAGGGAGATGAAATAAGTAAGGGGAGAGACATGCTGAGAATGAAAGATATGCACATGGTTTGGAGTAGGGGAACAGAAGAGACAAAAGAGGGATGGGGTTAAGACCCAAAGAGTCCTATAGGCTTTGAAAGATTAGTAAATTAAGCTTCTCATCAGACCCTACAGTTCATTATGTAAATGACAATCATTCCTCACTGATCTTTGAAAATGTTATCTCCTTATCTTTCTTTCTTACAGCTCATTATAGGTCCTAGCAATTAAACTTACAGTCCTTGAATCAGATGAGAGAGCCATAGTGTCACAGCCATCTGGGCATCTCTCTAGAAGAAACACCTCAGTGTGGCACAGCTCCCAGGGTGACTTTCACGTTGCACCATTCACACTGTAGAGCATGTGAACAATGCCCCCTGGAGTTGTGCATATTTCTGACTCCAGCTCGGGGTGTACTAATCTCTGGGTACAACAGAGATGAATGGAATAGGGCTGTCGCTCAATAACATCAAGACAAAAGTGAGGTCAGGCCTGGCTGAACAGTCTCTATTTTCTATTAACAGTATGTGATAATGGGACACACCTGCTTTTAAAAAAGTTGTTGGAAAGCAAATTTAAATCTAAACTATGCATTGAAAATATGTCACTGGCTCACTAAATATTAACTATAGGAGATTTTATTTTTTCCATTTGTTGATTCTGCATCTATTCAGCAGTCCCATAGCTAGTTCCATTTGTTAGTTCTCCATCTCCTCCCACTTCCAGGTCCACAAACTGGACTTAATATATTTAATGAATATCTGAGCACGTTGAAGTCCCATAGGTAAAGCACAAAGGTATAGTTTAAAGCCCATTATATGCTCAGATCATTTTCACTTCTGAAAGGTCTTCATGAATAGGGTCATATCACCAATTCCTTGGCAAGTATTCCTAGAAATCTCCAGTTTGTGTTTTCAATAAATAGCAATGTGAAAGACAGCAAGAAGGCCAACATTTAAGAGCTCCTACAGAAGAGGTGGCACATTTAAAATGTAGGAGGACAGAAAATTTAAGATATGTTTCTTTATTGCCTTGGAGCACTAAAGTATATTTATTTCAGTGTGTAGATTTGCAAATTTACTAGTAAGGATAAAATGGGAGCTTTTGGGGAGGGACAGGGGACGCTTTCTTATTGATAAAGCATCTGCTTCATTTCATGACCTATAATTTGTTCCAAAAACATTTTTCCTCACTTGTGTTTTCAGCCTATAAAATTCTTTGAAATCAGGAATTCTGTTTTTTATATGTTTATAAACATATATTTTGCTCTGAATGACTTGCAGATTTGACTCCTTTATAAAATTCTTCAAAAGAAAATTCATTATTTTGCTTCTATATATTGATTTTTTTTTTATTTTGGTTTTAAGTTAGTGGAACATGCTGTTGGATGCATGCTCTTTTTGCCCCTCAGCAGTTTTTTAAAAATGAAAAAATCATTATGGTTTTTTACTATATCATAAAAGCTGCAGCCAAAAAAAAAAAATAAAGGCATATAGTATAGTATTTTCAAAGCACAGTATTTTCATTTTCCTTCTTTGTCAGTAAACCTATCTTAAATTTACCTTAAGGCTGAGAATTCAGAATGCCGAAGGCCAAATTTTCAGAAACCAATTCCCACATCTGCACTTTTGGGTTGTGTAGATTCTGAGGTTTCTTGTAAATGTACTTTCTAAGCTTATGCCTTGAATCACTAAAAATCACAGCTATTTGCACATATGTGAAGACTAGGAGGATATTAACCTAAAACTTTATCTCTGATCATACTTAGTCTGCTCGAAATTTTATGTGAAAAGACTTCATTCATAAGACCAGCACCTGGAAGAGATCCCAGGTGAAACTAACACGAATAGACTAAGAATATTCGTTGTCATTTAGGCAAGAAATTTTACATGGCCGACTTCACAAACAGAGTGGTTGTACTCAAGGCTACTGCGTGTCCTCCACAGCCTCCTTTATAAATGGAGCTATCTCCCAAGTAGTAGAACTAGAAGGCGCTAACATTTATTGAATGGTGACAAAGTGGGGAAAAGTAGATACCACAATGTCCCATGAGTGAGGCTAAGGAGCAGGCTTTATTGGAGAGAGCAATAGTCAGTAAAAAGGGGCACGCGGTCCTCTTTTTTCATTATCTCATTGAGAGATGTGCTGGAGTCAAAAGAAGCAATCGAGCATTCACGGGGTCTGCGTTTTGA